TTTTTTTTTTTTTTTTTTTTTTGGCAACAAAAGAACCAATGACGGTTCATAATGACGTATACGCTGCATTTAAATTCATAACCACGTACAGGAATTTATCGAGCAGTCAGCTGATTTTATATACCTGCATAAGATCTCTAAATGATAAGAAAATAATCAAGATCTGAATTTGAAAAAAAAAGCTTCTTTTGCGATCGATATTTCTTAACTGGTGTTGACGAATGAACATCAACATTAGTATAAATGATATTAGATAAAAACTTCTGTTTATTAATCTATTCCTCGTAGAAATATACTTAATGATTATGTAGATTATTGTCTGTTTGAAATCTGAAGAATGTTGATGACTTCCGTCTTCTCCATCAAGCGCCGGGATGTAAAAAGAAAAATGAATCGTTAACGGTCCGTTTGGTGCCATTCAATGATTGTTCGACTGAAATGTCTGTTTTCTGATGATGATTCTCCTCTTGCAGTAGGTGGTTTCTTCCATTGCTCGTGGCACCACGTGCCACGCTAATCTTCACTGGTTGATTTTTTTTTTCTTTCAGTGCCATCGTCCAGACAGTTTTAAGGAAGAGATGAAAAAAATGAAAAAAAAAAAGAAAAAAATGAAAGGGACGGAAAAAGAGGAAGTGAACTAGACGATGAAGGAGCTGAGGTCGTAGTCCTGAACAGTTTGTCGATGGATTCATGGAGCCCTCTACGTATTTACAATCGATATTGCAAAGAGGAATTACTTGATAAATTAATAAAATTACATATATTCAACATGATAATTAAAGAACAGAAGATCTGAAAAAGGAATGGAAGAAAAGAAAATAATTATGATTGATATCTATGTTCATATTACATGAAGATTATGAAAATGTTGGTAGGTGTGTTTAAAGATCTAGCGAATATGTTGCCCTCACTCAAATGTTCGTTCATGGAAAAGCTGTAGGAGGGGTTAAAGGGCAGGAGGGTCGCAGACACCGAGTCACCAGTGGCAACGGGCACGCGACCGACACGCGCCCTTCTTCCGTCTCTCTCTTCCATATCTTCCCCTTCTTCGACGCTTCTTTTTCTACCGCAGCTTCCTTTTACACGCGCATGCATTCATCTTTTATGTGTGATCATCTTGAGCTTACGCATGTGTACGAGATGAAAGGCTAGTACTCTGTCACAAAATTTAACATAGCATAATTTGGAAATTAGTTGAGAAATGTTTGTTATTACTATGCGTGATAATCACGGACGTTACGATGTTCTTGATGTTGATGCAGATTATAATTTAAGTTCTATAAGAAGACATATTTACGTAAAACATATAAATAATTTTAACGATCAATTTGTGAGCCAGGTTGTTCCTGATGTCATAGAAAAAAAAGAGAAAAAAAATGTTTCGAGTGACCTTTTGGCATCTGCTTGGCTTGTATATGTAAGTGCAATTAAGTTCATTCAGATTTCCTCTTTCCAGTGGCCCATTGAAGAATCCAGGCGTAGATACTCGTATAATTACTTTATCATGAGTCTTCAAGCAGTTTCCATTAATGTATGGCGTGGGAAGTATTAGTAAACTTTTTACTACACAGAAACTACAGGAGAAAGAGACACATGATTTTCTTGTATAATTATCATTTAATAACGAAATGAGATGCATTTTTCGCAATTTACGTTGCTTGGGAACATTATTGTTTGAAAATTCCAAGAAGAATGATTAAGGTCGATGAAGACGAAAATGTGATCTGTTGTCGTAACGAGGGAAATCGGACATCTCTAAGTATAGCTCGTATTTGCATGCAGATCAGGGACGGATGGTATCGGGTTGCCAAAGCTAATACAACGTATGAAGTCCACAAGGTTTGTAGTATAAAATTTTTAATCTATTTTCTTCATCTAACGCAATTACAATACAATTTTGTAAATAAGAAACGTTCATTATCGATATCGTGTTAAAGTCATTTTGTTCGACTTTAAAATTCAGATATAAGTATTCTTTTTAATCATTCAATAATACTTCGATGACGATTACAAACTTGGCAATGCTTGGAAAGAAGCGCCGACCAAATTTCTTTTCTCGACTTGGAAACACTGATTTCAAACTTTCTCATTGAGAAATCGTTGTTACTACTGATGAGAATTTACGTAAGGTTACAATATTTTATATGGAAATGATCTTTACAATCAGTTTATCGTCATTGTTCAATGATGTTAAAGGACTAAGTAGGATTTGCCAACGAGGAAAAAGAGAGGCCGTGCCAAGAGCGTTTAACGACACCTTTATGTATGTAAGACATCTTGTGACATTAAAAGAAAAGAAAAGAAATGACTTTCATTTTGTTTGTAAACATATAAACATATGCACAACAGAAGACAAAGATAATATACTGTTAATATAAGAAAATATGAAGAATCAAACAGCGGAAATGCTGTCAACTACATCGGTAGAATGGTCGAATAAGAATGTGAGTAAAATTCAATAATAATGAAAGAAGATAAATTAGATACAGTTTGGATGAGCATGAATTCACAAAGTTGAAACTTTGATCATTTTGCAAACTCCTGGCCGACCACCAATGATTAACCATTTATAATTACGAGGATACTACATCTTGGCACGTGATACAGCATTTATAGATCGCGCCTCGATTTAATCGTTGTCGTTTCAATTATTTTTCTGGCTACTTGTCATCAGAAGCGTGGATCCGTGAATCCAGTCGATGCCAACAATCGAAAAATAGATCCAAACGCAACCTGTTCGAAATAGTTGGCGTAAAACCTGTAACGTGCCGAGTGTGTGCCGTTAATGTCAGCACGTTGAACACATAGATCGGTATTGGAACACCGACATTGTGGTCAGCATTTGAATACAAAATACAATAGATTAGTGACGAACGAGTTAACGTGTCTATTATTTCAAACAACTTCTATCAGTAGATTGATCGACTTTTGAACGGTCGTACATTAAATGATTAAGAAAGAAATTGACCGCACATTAATTGCAGTATTTTTGACAAGCTTTACAACCAGGTGGTAGATTTCTGCGATTCACAGGACAAATGGAGATCATGCTCGAAGGTATCTAAGCTAAAGGGAAGGAAATCTAATTATAGAAGTCGTTGTACCGCGTGCTGAAAGTGGTGGAGGGTGTGAGTACGGGTGCACGAATGAGAATTGGTTGCATTGGGCGGCCATAAAATGCAGGCTGCATCCGCTTGCCGCAGATGTACTTGAAATGGAGCTCCAGTACCACGACCAAAAGGATCTCTCGTTTCGAGATTCTGTGCCCTACCAGATATCGAGGACAATGAACTTGAAGTCTACATGATAGAAACAGATTCCATGGATTCTTGTTTGACGGAAGATCGATCGCGAAAGGAATAGATAGTCCATTACTCTAAACTATACTAATTTCAATTTGATTACTTCCAGACATCTAAATACACTTTCACTTCTACCCTGTTGCTGCAATAATGTAAAAGAAGAATTACAATCAGTCGTCTGTTGTTAAACAATTAGACTTGAAAGTTACAAGCAAGCAAGAAAATCAACAATAATGAAATTAACTATCTCTGCAATAACTATAGAATAGTTCTAACTAGAATATTACATAATTATTTAAATAATTGTCTTGTCACAATTACTAACTGTATATATAATAATTGTGTTATCACAAGTACTTGCACTACTATCAAGTAGGGAAAGTTCATTATAGTGTTCATTCATATAAGAGCCATGTGGTTTCTTCATCCATCCTGTGATACTTCCTGTTTGATAAAGAAAATCAAACGTCCATTACTGAAACTTCATAAAGCAACGAATGTCTTTGCCTATGAATAAATAATTTTCGTTCATTTCTAATTTTATGAATAATCAGAAAGAAATACGTATAAGGAGTACGTGTAAGGAAGCGTAATATATATCGTCATTACGTTTATAGTGGAATGAAAATCAAACTACTTGTATTATAATTTTATACACATCAACTATTTCTTATGGGTGCCACATTTAACGTCAATATTACCCGTACGAATGAATCGGTCACCCAACTACACCAGCTGTGACATTTCGCACATGATCGACTGTTCGGACCATGATTATTATTATTGTTTTCTCCATCCTTTTTTCTTCCTCTGAAAGTAGCCGCGTGTGTGCTCGTAACGTGGCCATGTAAGGGCTAGGCGGGGGTGCTGGTTGCTAATTTTAGTACGTCTCCAGGGTTCCTGGAGTCGTCGGCGAATCGGCAGCTGGTGATTCAAAACGTAGCCTTGCACGTGGGTACGTGTCTTACCGTTCACGCGCGACGGACATCCCCCTTCTTGTTTCTCCTCTCTTCGAAGGAGGTCGACATGTCCACTCAGTTCGTTCCAGATGTGTACTGCAACCGAAGTCATGCGATATATTGGTAACATTGCTGGATACTAAACAAATAACTTCGAGATTATTTTGTTCGCTTTATTCGAGACTAGATTGAAAAAGATTTAATTTTGTCCGTTAAAAGATATAGAAGAGAATATTCATGTTTTTCAACGTACATCACTACTTAGAAATATCCTTTAATTTTGTTACTATCTGGTTTCTTCAGCCCTTGAGATCACAAGGTAGAGAGGCAAAAGAAAGCGAGTATGAAGATGAAGAAATGCGCGTGTCTTCTCTTTGAGAAGGAGTTAAAGAAGAAACGGAGGAGAGGTAAACGAGATCTGGCGGCGGCTGGTGCAGCGGATGTTTGAAGCTGCTGAAAGTGAGGCGGTGGTTCCTTACTCGTTCTTTCTTCGTCTTTCCTGCTGCGTTTCCTTCATCAGTTAGCCACGATCGCGGTAAAACACGGTCCGCGGAGGAAGCAGCACCTCGGCGGATGTGATGTTTAGGACATGGCCCGGACAAAAAACTCTTTCTGTATAAATAGGTAACAGTGGTTGGTCTTAGTATTGCTATTTAATTTTTGGCCCACATATTTCCATTGATTGTTTACGAAAGCGCACATTTCCTTCTTTTTCTTGCACTCTTTTTACTTTTCCTTCTTTCTTCTTTTCTAGCAATTTTGTATAAAAAACATAATTACATGTATCAATGAAAAATGATTGTCTTGTTGTTTCTTTTCTTTTGGTTGGATGACAAGAAGATAATGGTCCTAATGAAGCTGAAAATGCATTGGTAACATGATCACTGTAAAGAACCGCAACACTTGTTGGCCTGTTTCCACTTGAGTTTCGGAAGCCAAATATCTTCTGACCTGCAACCTGCTGGGTCAAAAGAATACGATTCTCTTTGCTAGTGGTTTGAGTCACGTTATGGTAACAGAAAAGACAATGGTAAAGCTCTACAAATTAATAGTTTCAAGTTGATTTCTTTAGTACACATAGTGCTACTAAAAACGATTATTATCAATGGGAGAAATATAATACAAATATGACATAAAGTGTAAATATTTCTAGAATGTGAGTGCTGATAAATATTATCATATGATAATTTACAATTAGTGAAACTCGACGCATGAATTAAGTCAGATATGCTCGACACGTGGTTGTCGATATTCCAGGCTCCTGCCGAGAAGCACAGACCTCCCAGTGTCATCCGACCACCATGTGTATGCGAGCCTGATGAAATCCCTC